CAGTTTCAGGAATTGAACTACTTAAAAAATAAACATAAAAGAATAAAACAACAAAAACAAAACCCAGAGTCCTTCCCTTATTACAGTGTACTCAATTTTTAAAATTCATTTCCAGTAAATTAAGTAGAATCCTGGTAAGTGCATAGTAGGGGATTCAGTGACCTCCACTCATCCTAGAAACTTTTCTTACTGTGTGTCACTTGAGGTAATTTGAAGGGCCCAATTAACTGCAAACTGGCTTATCTGTACCTGTATGAAGTTATATGCTATACTTTATGTGGTTTAGCAGAGGGCCTCTACATTTTATATTTTATTCACAATAAAAAGGACATCTTAGAAAACTAGTCAATCACATACCATTCTCTGTATGGGATAAAGGTTAATTCACAAAAAATCTATACAGAAAATATACAAATGCAATATTATGGGAGGAAAACCCCATAAACAGAATTAAGAATTTACTTCTAAGAGTGCATGTGAAAAATATCCACAAACTTACAGTACAGCAAAACTAAAAAGCTCGAAATAGAATGTTACATAAAAATTTTATGGAAATCTCAAAATTTTAGGTTTCTGCAATAAATGTAAAAATTTTAAGGTGTCATTATTTGGCCTAGCAATACACTATGATAGAAAGAAACACTAGCATATCACAGCTTCTTGGTCATATGACATTTGCTTCGTATAACAAGCAGCTTATTAATATTACTTTTTTAAAAAAGCTGTCACACCCTAACACATTCATTGCAAGTAATACACAGCCATGGCAGGAAACGTTTGAGATTATGCTTTGGAGAACAGCAGTGTGATATGACTGTTCAGTTTTGTTTTGTTCAAGGTGAATTAATTACCTGCTTCTTTACATTACCCCATAGAACATTAACAGATTAGAGGACAGAGGTTCTAAGACTAGTACAATGCTAGCTGTTAGGTGAAGTTCCAAAACAATACTTTATTGAGCAAAAGCCCCACTGATAAAGCCTTGCATGATAGATTTTAGAGCTTATTTTTCCTTAAAACAGAACACATAACATAATGCAATCCACAGCTAAAATTCCCATCTACCTCATATTTCACCTGCACAATCTTGTAACAGTATTCAGAAATACTACCTAATGAAAAAGATATCAAATTCTTGTTTCGAAATTTCCTTTTATTTTACACAGGTGAGCTGAAAGTCTCTGTATTGGAAATTCTTCTAACAGTGTTGCCCTAAAAACATGAAGATAAATTATATAGTACTTAATTTTAAGTGAATTTTAAAAATACATAATAAAAGTGTTCTAGAGCTACAAAAGCTAATCAACACTCTCTCAATGCATTTTAAAAAGGCACCAATAAAAGGAAATTTCTGAAGTATTTAATACATTAAATTCAGGATCTTAAGACCAGTGATTATATATTTTTAATTAATTTGCAGAAACTGAAGGTTTAAAAACATTTCTAAGCTCACTTTCATATATACAAACTACAATTTCACTGCCACTCTTTTATTCTTGTGCATTCGGGGAATTTCTGTTTTAGAATAGTCTTCGTAAGATAGTACTTTCTAAAATAATACATAAAATATAACTAAAGATGATCACAAATGTAACGTTCATTTTTGTAAAATGAACAACTTAAAGTTTAAAAACAACATAGCCAGTATCTCATAATCTAAGTTCTGTCTTGAAACTAAGGGCATACAGTGTTTTGTTTGTATTTTTGCAGGCTTTTCTTTTTCTACCTTAAGGAATCATTTTGGAGATCCAATAAATTAACATTGAAAAATAGACCAATGTTCATCAAAATACCTTCACTGATGTAAATTTTGTCAAACATTTATATAAACTATCATAAAGACTTCACGGAGGTATTGTGAGCATACAACTGAGACGCAAAACATTATCAAGCTTACTACAATATTCTTGTCTTTCTCCATTTGTCAACAAGTAACAGTTAATTTTTTTTCTGTATCTTCTAAGAATAATTTGTTCCTTTCACTTTGGAGGTTATATCAAATCAGGGTAAAATATCTACTTTTTTCATTGTGTGTTGCTAGTAGTCCTAAGGACACACTAGTGACTTCTTTGATATCTCTTAATATAATCTGGTATAAAGTAAGCCTATTAAACTGCTCAGGTATTAACGGTTGTTAACCCTCTGTATATTCTTGCAACACATCTGATCACTCTAATTGCTTCTTTTCATGAATTTTCTTTAAAAGAATGTATGTGCTTGTAAGTATATAGGAAAGAAACTCCCTACTTTGAAGCCAACTCTAAGTCCTGGTCTCTCATTCTCCCATTTTGTCCCTCAGAAAATCTTCAACGGAATGTTTCAACAACTTGAAATTTCTTCCAGCCTGCTTATTGGTCACTTCCACTGTTTTAAAAGCCAGATTAGAATGGCTTTTTAAGTGATCAACCACTGTTAGAAGAAGGCCACATACTTCTCCAAGAGCTGGAGATAAAATTCTGGGCAAAATGAGGGCAAAGAAATATGATGAAGTTCTGAATTTTTGCCAAAATGGAGAACACATAGACTAACCCATTTTCTTGTCCCTCAAATACTCTGTATTGTGAAATCTCACCTGAATAAACTGGGCATAAAACTTGATTTATTTGGTGTCTGATCCTCACTTATTTTTAGGTGCTATCATGTTGCCTATTTCCTTTTGTGAAGAGGTATGTGAACACAGCCATTCCGATTTTCCCAGAAAATACCGTGTTCACAAAAATTCTTCCTGATATACACAGTGGAACTGACCTTGTTCTCATTTGTCCCTGTCACACCCTGAGCCATCTTTACCTCTTTCTGTCCCCTATATCATGAGGCTAAGAGAGTACACGCATCTATTTGTAGCAAATGCACTCTCATAAGTAACGAAGTCCCTTTGATAAAATAGATTCCTAAAAAGATGAAATCAGAAAAGGAGAGTGCTTGAGTGCTGTCTTCATGGGGTACTACACAACTCTTTAAATCCACCAAAATTCAGTTTTATCCCAGGGCAGGTACAAAATTGTTTACATAGTGAAAAAAAATTTTAAGCAGGAAGAAAATTCATAGATAATGCCAGCAGAGGTTCACACATGGCCAAGTTATGAACATATTGACTGCCGTCCAAATGTTTCTTTAAATTACAGCAAAACGCATAATCACTAACTTATTCAACTACCACCAACAGGAAAAAAAAGTAAAATTTCAGATACTTATGAGTGGTCAGGGTGAGTGGGGAGAGGAAGTCTCAAAGACATGCTTCATTTTGAATAAATTCTATGTTCACAATGTACCAATGTACCAAAGCATGCAGGAAAAAAAAAGACAGTTGACATTCTAATTAAAACATTTCACATCTCTCTTTTGGTGCTTCTCTTAGATTTAAAGAAACAGTTTGGATAGTTCTCCAAAAATTATTACAACAGGGGCTAGTAAAAGAGAGCTGAGTTATAACCATTTTTGTTTAGCTCTGCTTGTGCCGGTGCTTAGATGTTGCTTAAATAAGCAGATGGTCAACTAGAAAATGAGAGAAGAGCAGTTTAAGACCAGAGTTGCTTATCTGTCCACAGTTCTCTAGTCTTGCTAATTCTCACATTATTCTGCATTAAGAGAAACATAGTCTCAGCATCCTATTTAGTCATTTTTTAGAGCAGCTGCCAGTTACTGCTACAAGAATTTCAGCATTCATAAATGGGTCTCAGCCAATCCAGCCACGGTCAGCGTGGCCCTCCCTACGAAGCAGCAGCGAGCTCTGCCTCCAGGTATGTCCCGCCAAATGACCCAAATCAAAGTCACTAGTTGCTTCCTTCTAACGCTGTTGGACTGCAAAGAACAAATAGAGCACCCATATAAATGAAATTATAATGTGCGCATGGACTATGGTAACATGGATTGATTAAAAGAAGAGACATTTTGTACTATGGGATTGAGATCCGTTTCCAATAAGGGTTTATAAACAGTTGAATGTTTTGGAGCCAGAAAAATTTGCAGGGCACAGCCAACTTGGAGGTTCAGTCACATTTTCAACTCCAAGGATGGTAAAAGTAAGCTTTGTTGTTGTTTTTTAAAATTTGTTGTCTCTATAGTCCAATGTAAAGGCAACAAAGTTTCCTCTCCTTGCACCTAAAGCGGTAGATGTTATTATTGAAGAAATACTAGGACAAATAGCCCTAGTTCCATAACCTCATGAGGTTCAAGTTACACATTCAGATCAAATTAGCAACTGTGTGGAGGAGAGCTGGAAAGAAAGAGCTTCTAGTGAGGTATGTAGGACCTTCTGCTGGAAGAGTAAAAGATGAATGGGCCATGGACAGAACACTGGGTGGTCACAGCTTGAAAAACACAAGGGAAAAGAGAAATATACCAGGAAAGGGATTTCTGAGTGGGTTTTTTCCCCCTACTGTTAGCCTAATTATATTTTTCTGCTGACTAGTTAACACTGATTAAATGCTGATAAAGTGACAATCGTAAGCATACTTTTAGACACAATTATGTATACTATGCGGCCATCACATTACAATGGTAAAAGAAAACATCCCAAACAAATTTATGAAGAGTAGAGGTCCCGTCTGGAAACTACTGACTGCCTGTTAGCCACTCTTAGACCATATGTTATTCTGAAAACTAGTTAAAAATACTATTCATTAAAGGTGTTAAAAGTAAGGCTGCCAGGGTGTCTATAAAATGCCAGTCATCAAAACTATGGAAAAACAGTGCTTAAGTTTAGAAAAATAAGATCATAGGACCTCAGATGTATTGTAGGTGTCCTTAACTACCTGTAGTTTAAAAGTTTTGCTCTATGGTACAGTGTATAACATACCGTATTATAAATTCCAGAGGGGAAGTAAACATAGAACCCACAACAACCACCCATCCAAGGAGTTATCACTGAAAATAACAATGTGTTTCTGCTCCATAATCTCTAGAGAAAAAAAGAAAAAACTGTTTACGTTTTAAAACAAATTCTTCTTTGAAGTGTTAAATTACTTATCCCATTTTAAACTGAGAAAGTCCTACCCAGAAAACTAAACTTTCCTGCCTTCAATCATAATTCTGAGCATCAGTGGTAAATCAGAATCTTTTAGGTGAACCTATATGAATCAAGTGATTTGTTTTTCAAAGCACGATATGCCTTATACCTATGCATGGCAGAAATGAACTGCTCTCAAAATTCCCACAAAATAAACCAGCTAAGTTATCAAGAAACAATATCCCCTGTCCCTGTCCCTTCTCTCTTCTGTTTCTTCCTAATTGTAATTAGGCAGAGCGAAGACACCGTGTCCACAAAATAAGAATTCATGACAGTAATAATATTTTTCTTTTTTAAAAAAGGTATGTCAACATCGTAGGGAAGGTGGGACTGTAAGTGCAGTATTTCTTCATGTGCAGTTTGTTACTTCATAGGGGTCCCCTTTGGAATGAAAAGGCCTAGTGGAATGTGTGCTCCCCTCGAACAATGTGTGATGAAAACTCATAACGGTCCTGGCTTCTGTAGCCACAGATGTTGCATTCCAGTGGGTCCCGGTAGCCATGGCAACCCATGTGAATGGTGTACATGACATGGTCTAGGAAAAGGACTCGGCAGTGCTCACACTTAAAGGCCCTAATCTGTTCTCCTTCTCCATTGAAGACTTTGTAGATGTCCTTCAGAGAGCCCTTAGGAGCCTTGGTGGTATCCAAAGCCTTGACATCCTCCTTCATATAAGCTGGGCTTTGTTTCCTCTTGGGATTTAAGGCAGGGTTTCCTTGGTAGGACTGGTGGTCATCATGGCTGCTTTCTGAGTCAGTAGAATCCAGGCAGCTATTGCTGGGAGAGGCCTCTCTTTCCTGGGGTCGACTCTTTGGTCTGATGAGAGAGATGGGGCCATCCATGTTGTTTTCATGACTATCGGAGGTTTCCCTGCTAATGGGTCTTTCTATCCTATTTGGATGATAGACCTGAGAATAAGCTGAGCTTATAACTGGGGCCACCTCAGCGATTGTGCTTGGCGGGTGCTGCATCAGAGGGTGAAGGGCCTCAGCTCCAAGGTAGGTGATTGCATTGTTGATGGCTTGGTCCATCATGTGAGACTGCATCAGCTCAGCCTCCTTCTCATATGTTAAGTTCATATCAAAGTGAATGTCTGGGTAGCTGAATCGCATGAGCTTTTCCCCTGAAAGAGAGAGGGGAAGAAAAGGAAGAAGGGGGGAAAAGATACAACAGAATCAGTGGCTGGATTAAAAATACAAAAGTACAAAGCTAACTAATCAAATCCCTTTTCCATAATATGGTATATCTTATTCCTTAGATCAAGGATTTAGGCCCTTTAATTCTGCCGAGACTCACAAACACTCTAAACCTGCGAAGAGGATTAGTAATACAAATTTCACAAGCCATTTGTAGTTGTTCTAGTACCAGAGTGAAAATGCACCCAGCCTGAAAAGTATGATGGAGAGTGTGTTAGCTTATTTTTATTCACTGTGAAAATTTCCGCTTGTCTAGAGCTCAGTAATTATGAGAAAGAAAAAATACCAGGTGAAAATAAGTCAGGGACTGTGAAAATAAGTCAGCAACCATAGGAGAAAGAACAAATACCACATGAAAATAACTCAGAGACTATGCTTGCTTTTGCGTATTTTTAACATCAGTGACCAAGTCATATAACCAGAATTTGTGATCTGGTTATAAAAATCTGTCATCTCACTTTTGTGTAGGGTTAATTTGGTTGACTTTGTTGCTCTATTAAGAAAACAATTACAGAATCAACATATGTCATTCTGCAGAGTTAAAAAAAAGTCCCAATTAAAATACTGTTGAACTATCTGATAAACTGAATAAAATTTGGGGCTATTTAAAAATAGAAGTTAACTTCCAAAAGATTTATAGATTGGAAAATATTTTGTTTTTGTTGTTTTGCATCTCAAAAGAAATCATTACTCATGTTTTTGTTACCCCTTTTTTATTCAGACATGTATGAAATGATTCTGCTATGATCCATTGTCCATCTTCTATACTTTTTCTTGATTGAAGTATGCAGTTTTCTCTTTAATATTTACTGCAGTTAATTTAATTTTACTTCACTATAATATCTAAGCATTAACTCTAAAGAGTTTGGTGCACAGAATATGAGAAGTAATTTTTTCTCCTTCAAAACATTACTGAATTTGGACAGACTATCTGATCTTTTTAAATCTCTGCCACTAATATAATGTGGTCTCCTACTAATTACCTAATTACTCTAATAGGTAAATTTTACAGATAAATGCTTGTTAAAAATATCTGTGGACTTCTTATAAATGTTTAGCATGTTGTAGATGGATACCTAACTTGCCATGTTGATAGAACATAGCAATCCACTACTTGGAAGTGCATTCTGGAAAAGCACTTCCAAGTAGCTAGTATTATCTCAGGTTTGAAGTAAGGTCCCCAAAGTGCGGTCAGGGCAATGATCAGAGCAATGAAAATAGAAGGAAAAATGAGGTATTATCTCATGGTATCCACGTTAAGACATTGCAATGTCAAAAGTTTAAAAGTTAAGCTACACAAACTTCACATTCTCAGAGTCTACAGTTTAGAGTGAGTGAAAGTAATTTAGGGATCATTTATAATACAGCGTGATATGAGCTATGCGATCATATAAGAGGAATTCATATCTCAAACTGGGGAGTAAAATAAGACTTCTCGAAAGAAGTGGCATCAGAGATGTGAATGTGATGGCAAATACAAGCCAAAGTAAAGGAATGTGGAGGAGGAGTAGAAGGTGGGAGGCTGGGGTCAACAGGTGTGAAAACAGATGGGAAAGGTGGAGCCATACAATCTAGGCCTCATTTGACAGCAAAGAAATTTGAATTTTATCCCGAAGGCAGTAAGTGTTGAAAGGATTAAATAGGGAAATGACTTGACCAGACAGTTATTTAGCAAGATGGTTTAGGAAGCTGGTGCTATAGATCCCATGGTGGCCTCAACTAGTAGAGTGGCAGTGGAAATGGAGAAAATTCGATGAAACAGCAAAACACTTTGAAAACATAGGGCCTGGTGATTATCTAGAGATAGAGAATAAGAAAGAGAAGGAAGTTAATCATGACACCTACGTTTCAGGCCCAGGAAACTTAGTGGACATCAATGAGATAGAAAACATGATGAATATAGGTCAGGATAGGCTAAGAGTAATAGTCATGTACAGTAGGTACAGAGGTACAGTCTCAAACTCATGTGAGAGAGAACTCATCTTGAGACGTAAAAATGAGAGTCACTGGTTTATGGAGAGTAACCTCTGAAGCCATGGGAATACATGATATCACCCATGATAGGGAAAGTGTAAAGAAGAGAAATTGAACAGTAGAAACTGAAACACCAAGATTTTTACGTCTGCCCATAGACCAGTGCAAGTGGGGTTCCTGCACTGAGTCCCACATTTTCAGTGCCCTGAGCTTTGCTCCTCATGGAATAAGGAATGTGCAGGGCCAAGGGAAAGTGCCTATCCCAAGCTCACTCCCTAGACCACACACTAGACCCGAGACTTCCTTGCCCAAATGACTCCGAATTTGCTCCCAGGCTGAGCAGTGGGTTAGCGGTCCTCTTCCTACCAACTGTGCCACTGGCATGCGTGCTTTTCAGCTGAGGAATGGCCCACACTCCACTCTTTATGCACCGCATGTGGGCACAGTGTGAAAAGAACTTGGATGTGCTGGCCAAGATGTGTACACGTGTATGTCTGGGGCTGAAGCTGGACAGAACTTAGAGCTCAAGTATGTGTCTAAGAGAGGGACCGGGCCCCACCCAGGCGAGGAGGTGGTGCTGCGCGCGCTGCCACGGTCGGGTGTGGAACTCCAAGGAACCTGATAATTCCCCATTTATTAGCACTCAGTCTTCTAAGTTAGAAGGGTAGAACATAACAGTTTCTCACCTTGAGGTATATTAAAACATTCAGGCATATGAATGGAGGCCTTCATTAGTATTTTGCCTCCATTTGCGTAGCTATTAGGGGTAACTACATAAAGAATACTAAATGGAGCAGTCAGAGAAGGTGGAAGAAATGCAAAAAAGGTCAATGCCATAGAAACCAAGGCAAGGGAGTACTTCAAAAGGAATTAATCAATAGTGGCAAATGCTCTATAGGACTTGTGTACTATAGCCAAAAAACAATCCACTGGACTTAAGCACTGTGGAAGCGAGTCATGTTAATGAGAATGACTTCAGAGGATCATAGGGAAGAAAGCCAGGGTAGGAGTAGAAAGAAATTATAGAAAGCAAGCATAGAGAATTCTTTAAAGAGCGCCATCTGTGGAGAGAAGGAGAAAGTAGATGGTCTCTGGAAGGAGACTTGGGGTCTGAGGAAAGATTTTTTTTTTTTTTTTAACAATGAGAGTTTATCACATTAAATGCTAAAAAAAAAAAAAAAAATTGCCGATGGAGGTGAGAAGTTGAAATGTAAGTAAGAAAGAGGAAAAATAATAGTGTAAGATATTTGGGGGGTTGGGATAGGAGAATTTCAGAGCACAATCAGAAGAATTAAGCTTAATCAGAAAGAGAGATACTCTCTCTTTAAAACAAGGAGAAAAGAAGAAAGCATTCAGATGATTGCATATAGTGCTATGGGATTAGTGGTATTATATTAAAATCACTTGGACTGACTTTATTCCCTGTGACTCTAGATATAATATCATCAATGAGTGAGATACCATATTTACAAAGAGTAGAGAAAAGTTGAAATGGCCACAGTGGTGAGTAGGAGAGGCGGCTATTTAGGAATAAATCAAAGAAGGTCTGTTACATAGCATGGGTGGGACAATGGATATTTGAGAACAGTTATTCATTTATTTATAGTGATGCCAAATTATAACTAAGTGAGATTTTCTTCAAAAGTCCTAGTCACTACGTAGATGCGGATAAGAGGCTCAGTTGGCTTCACTAGAGAATGCGGTTTCACCAGAAGGTGACAGAAGGACAACAAATCAGGAGAGACAAAAATATTGGCAGAAGAAAAGAAAAAGTGGTGAGCCATGGAACTGAAACTGGATAAGAAAAGAGGAGACAAATGGACAGGTAGAAAGCTCAAGGGTCATTGGCTGGGAGAGCTTAATAAGCTCACGGAAGAGTATTTAACTGAGGGACATAGAAAAAAATAATTTATAGTAACTGTGGAATAATAAAATGTGTTTCATTTCATACATAGAAAGAGTTATTATTCAATTGTTGTATAATATATTACTACTAGGGCAGAATCTAAGTAAAAAAAAAAACCCCATCTAATTCCTAATAAAAATCTAATGTCATTACTTTAGAATCAAAATGTAAATTTAAAAATCTGTCCCTCTTTTCTAAGAAATGTAATAAAATCAAATTGAGAGTAGCACCTCTAAGTCATAAAAAAATGTGAAAATGTTTTAAAAAGCAGAACTAAGTAAATTCAGGAGACAGAAAATACAATAATGAATTTCACATTTTCCCAATTACACGAGTGTCTAGTTGAGATACAGGCATTTAATGGACATCTATCAAATCAATCAATTTTAAAAATCGATGAACTGGCACTCTTAAAAAGTTATTTATAAAAAGAAAGAAAGAGAGAGAAAGAAACATTACTGAGGGCCCATGGCTGGCCTTTGAGGGGTGGCCTTCAAGGAGCTTTTCACTGAACCCCTGTAAACGGCGGCCCCCAGGGCTACCATCAGCCAGAATTCAATCAGCTGTGTCAGCTGACCCCTCCAGTGTCTCTTAGAGTGATATTTTGGTCATCTGTTAGTTCTTCAATTCTAGATTGAAAGGAAACCTTCTCTGACTGTTTTTTGGAATAATAGAATTTTATTGCCCTTTCCTCCCTGAAATAATGAAAGACTTTCTCCCAGTTATTATTCAACTCCCATAAGATGTTCCACAATGACTTTTACAATAGAATGTGAGAATCTATTTAAATATTTTTATTTCTTCTAACTTCTACCCTATATAAAGCTTATAAAAATAGATATTACACATGCAATTAATGATAATTCTTTATATCAACTCCATTATTCACACTCTTTTTAAAACTTAGTTTTGTATCCTCAGAGATACTTTATGACTTAACACTATGCAGAATGATGCCAACCATGAGCACAATGAAGACTATCCGAGGGCTTGGAAATGAAAAAGGAAAGTCTAATAGATCATATTTAATCTTTTCAGTGCAAAAGATGAGATACAGAACCAATATGAAATATCTTGAATGTAGGTTGCTGCATTATTTTTCTAATGCACAATTTAAAAGAGATTTCTGTTCACCCTAGATCAAATACTAAAAACATTAACATCATGTAAAGAAAACAGTTTAAAAACTAGGTTCTAATGCATATTTAAAGACACAATCCAAAACTGGCTAACAGACTACCCTATCTCCCTTAAGGGTTATTATATTTTTAATAAATCAACATTTTATTTTTACATGTTATTTCACTTTATACCACTTCCTTTTGAGACAGAAACTTACTACCATCAATCTCTCCTTTATTTCTCTTTCTCAAGCTCATGCCTGTGTGTGCATGTGTGTATGGTATACATGAAGTGGCAAAAAGTAGAAAAGAATAATGAAGAAAAGAGATTGACATTCATTTCATGAACTGAAATACACCGTATATATTTCTAATACGTGGGAACATGTCTTTGCCCATTAAAATCATCTTTTTAAAGAAATAAAAGCATTCGTAATGCTTACCCACAAACTTTTGTGGAGTGGAGCTTTTACGTTTTCCCATATTCCCCGTGAGCTTCTCTATGACAGCAGGTCTCTCAAAAGGCACCAGAGAAATATTGTTGTCCATAATAGGCTCTTGTTCCTTACAATCTTCTATAGGAGGTACTATATAAAACCATACAAAAAATGCAATCTGATAATTTCTTCAACATTTTAAAGATACAAAGCTGGACTTGCCATCTCAATATGTGTTAGACAAACATAAGCTAGTATGCTTGAATAAAAGCAAGTAGACAGATAACCTCCAGTGTTCAAGTACCTGGTAATTTTATTCTGACACACAAGAGGATTTGTTTTTATCTGAGCTTCTCTCAGATCAATGACATAAACTGTTGCCACTATTGGTGGCAAACATGTTCATCTTGTTTCTCATCTTATTCCTCTGAAAGTGTTTTTGACATTGACTAAAATCAATACTACTTTAAGACTGCACTATTCTCAAGGTTCTTGGAGTTTATTTTTGTAAAACAGTTTAAGTAAGTCGACTAGTTTTGGAGGAAAGCTTCAACAGACACATGGAATAACAACAGAGTATTTAACCAGAGGTTTTTTTTTTTTTTTCACCCATGTATTTTCTTGTAACAGACTTTCTATTTGATGAGCTGAGTGAACTGGTATCCCTATTGGCAGCAGCTAAATACCTGCGCAAAGCAGACTTCGTGAAGAAGATCCAGTTCTGAACACGCACAGTAAACTATGGCAGCTCTATGGCTGTGATTTATTTAAGAAGAGCTCTTCTGCAGGATAAAAGCATCTATTTCCAAACTGGCATATTTTCTCACTAGGCTGCTCTAATTCATTTGACATACACTTTCTATTGCTGCTCGCTCTTCATCCCATTTGTTTAAGCTGCTACTGGCTGGTACACTAGCGCTTAGGTTAGATGCTGGCATTCATAGGGTAGACAAAGAACTTATAAAATTTCTTTTTGAATAAAAATACTGTCACAGAACATTTAGCTAAGGACAGAGTAACATCTGAGACAGACTGGGATCAGTGGATTAAAACCAGTGTTCATAGGAAAGGCCCTAACTTATTGCTTCTTGATTATGGCTGTTGTCTCCAGTGGTAACTGTGTCAATACTGCTTGAAAACTGAAAGGTTTCATATCTTAGGATAGCTTTATTTGTTCAACATGCACTGAAAAATGATTTATTCTCCTCCTTAAATTTGTAAAGGATAGTTCCATTGTGCGAAACACAATGCACTCTCATCTATAAGGGTGGATGCTAAAATAAAGTGAAAAAGCAAGAGATGAAAGTTAAGCAAATCCAGTGCACAATTCAAATGACCTACTTAATAAGCAATATACGTTCCAGATTTTTAAAAAAATGAAAAGTAGCATCAGAAAATTGTTTTCCTAAATTGGACATGTTTACAGAGATTGACATTCAATCTAAGTTTGAGTTAACCTAATGTAGTCTAGTAGATATGCCAGAAAAATTTAATCTTAAATCTCTGTTTTATAACAGATCTGGTTATGAACGACAAGGGATTCTGCAATTGCTGGGTGTTAATTTGGCAAAAATTCCAAGAATGAGATTCAGAAACAAGGAAACACTTAGCTTATTTTCTATACTGATATATAATAGCATTATCAAGTAGAAAAGTCTGACCCCCTACATTTTGTAAAGCATTATGTCCTATCTTACAAACTAAAATTAAAAAAAGAAAAAAACAACTTAAAAAGTAAAGAAAAGAAAGGAAGACCATAGAATCAAGTAAGGGGGGGGGCAGAGGAAGAAACAGCAGTGGTGATGTGGCAGGGAACGATGTAATTACATAGATTATTTTCAAAATCTTAATTTTTATTTTGGGTGGTGGCTTTGCGGGCACTTCTTAAGCTATTAAAAAAGTAATTATAGACCAAACAACTATAGACCAAAGATGAAAATATGTCACGGACCGAGATCCAAAATGAAAGAAGAAAAAAAAGTTTGTTGTTGTAAATTTTGCTAAAAAACAGCAAAACTGGTTAACAGGGTTTGCCCCCAAATTGAATATACTAATTAGTTTTGAAATGAGTAGTCTAAAACTTAGCAGTTTTGCTCTATGTCTCACCTTGAATTTTCATATTTGCACACATTTAACATTCAAAACGAAACCTGGGTGTGGGAACTGTCCCACACCACATCCACCTCAATTCAGATGATTTGTCCCAAGTTCAATGAAGCTCATGTGAACAGAAAATAATGACTTCGGCAGAGCTCTGGTCTAAATTCTTCTTTAGAACAATCCTTTACATATCCAATATTAATCTTGTTTCTACCATACTGACAATAATAACAACAAAAATAACAACAGCTGGCATGTGTGTTAAGTACTGTTTTAAGGATTTGCATTTAATGCTTCAACACCTCCCCGCCCCCCCCCCCCCCGGAGATAGGTACAATTACCATCTCCATTTTACAGATGGGAAAACAAAGACACGGAGATGTTATTTCCTCAGGGTTTACACCCAGTTAGTGTGGAATATATGGTTGAACCCAGGTGACCGGGCTCTTAGCTGCTATGCTATAGCATTCTTTGTAGACATAATTTGAATTTTGACTTTATATAAACAAGTTTGACATATTTTTTAAGTTCTGCCATGGGGAAAATATCTGATACACTTTCTCAATTACTATATTAAGAAATATTAAGAAATCTGAATATTTTGCTTTCATGAATCTGGGTACAACTCATCAAAATATTTCTGAATAAACAGGGGTGGTAGGCAAAAGTAGGTTTATAGTTGTTTGTATGGAAAATAGTAAGAATAAATAATAAAACAAGAATAAACTCTGTGCTTTGCTTACTCACAACTGTAAACCTACTTTTGCCCACTGCTATATATTGTTAGAAACATAAAACAAGCTCTCTCGTTAAATCAATGATGTTCACTCCCACAGTGAGACATTCAACCAGGCTAAGAAAATACCAACATGCTAACTTCATTTGTTGGAGCAACTTTCATAACCAAATATATTCCTTGAAGTTATTTTTGAAGTTATTACCAGGAAAAATAGATTTATACTTGCATTATTTCATTATCTCATCACGCTGATAAATCATAAAGACAGAACCATAGTGTTCCCAACACAGAGAGACCCAGATTGGGTCATACGGCCCTCCCATGGCCAGAGAGGGCAGGGCGCCTAGACGGACAGCCTCGCCATGGCTTCACGAGCCAGGAGACGCTTCTCTAAAGGGAAATGAAAGTCTTGTTATCACAAGAAGAAAGAAGGTATGCAAGGCAGCAAAAACAACAGATGTCTTCTATATTGTCACACATTTTCTCCATGTGGCTGAATCTAAAAGAAACTTTTCAGATATCTTAGTTATTTCCTTGAGAACATTGGACAGTGCTGACACTTACTTTGGCTTCTGTAAAATCACTCTTTCCATTTTCAAGCCTTCTGCTCTTACTCATCTTCATGGTTCTTTTTTTGTTGTTGTTGTTGTTTTTCCTTCCCGGTATATTCTTGGCCTTCTAGATGTCTCACTCTATACTTACCCATATAACTTTACAAAGCCTGTTACTACACACTACTGTCTATATTATTATGGTTCCCACTGTTTTATATCCTCCACATCCCTCTCTCGAGAGCTTGATTTTATACACACACACACACACACACACACACGTGTGTGTGTGTATCTATATGTGAATAATATGATATATATTCAACTTTTTAGTTTCACTTGGCTGACTTGGCTAACTCTCACAGATACTTAGAGAATAATGTGTTCAAAAACTGAAATCTCTATTTCCCTCTGCAAACTTTCTCCTATTTCTCTAATTTCCATTCTCAGTGAATAGCATTACCACCTACCTGTTCATTCATGCTAGGTAATCGTTGCAGATCCTAGATTTCTTCCTGTCACCCAGTCTCCGGCCGCTCCTGTTCTTTATCACCTCTCCTTAGGCATACATGGAGTTACCAAGTGTTTTAAATTCTAAATCTACAGTTGCTCCCAATTGTCTAACTTTTCTGCATCTTGCAGGCCACTAGGCCCAACTCAATCAATCAGTAGATTGTTGCAATGGTCTACCTGCCTCTATCTTGATTCTTTTGATCTATTTCCCACATTTCTAGCAATAAAATGTAATGTAGTAATGTTTTTTAGGATAAGTTGCAAATCCTTCACTTAGCACAGTAAGCCCTCAATGCTTGGTTCACAGCCTGTATCTCTAGCCTTATCCCCTCCCCATCTTTCTTGCCTTTACAAACTAGGCTCTAGTTATACATAGCTGCTCTTAGATCCTGAACCTGCAACACTCTTTTAGACTTCTGTTTCTTTACACATGCTCTTCTTTATGCATGAAACACTCTTCTCCATTTATTCAGCTAGCTATCTTGCCCTTGAAAACGCCACTAAAACATAACATTCCCTAGAAATTTCTCTTGGACACCCAGTGTGATTTAGATATCTGACCTCAGTGTTCCTGGAATGCTTATCACAGTGTTCTCACTGCTGGTTTACTGGTCAGTTTCTTCCAACTGTTGGTAAACCACCTTAGGGTAGACACTGCATTTTATTTGACTTTGTATCTGTAGTACCTTTTAGGATGTGAGACAAATATACAATCCAATGGATGTTTCCTAAATAACTTAATGAGAGAAGTGTCACCCCATGGAAATAGGTGGAGAAAGCTTACTGGAAAGTTTACACATTCCCAATCGTGTCCACATACTTGCAAAAAAAAAAAAAAATCCCTACCAAATAATCAAACGATAAATCTAAAAATATTACTTTTCTTTAAAGTTTGTTCTCTTTCCATTTTTGTCTTTAGGCAAGGGGGAACATTATGTACTCTGATGTTTAAAGCTTTTTCTTCAAGCAGAATAGACTTGAAAAATGAGCATAAAATAACTTTCAAATAAAATAATCTGCCATAATAGCCAAATGCATTATTATCTTTATTTGCAAAGGTAGAAGTCATTATTTTTCCCTATATTTCAGCTGAATATGCGTTCAGTATTTCGCCCCCTTCTCTTCCCCTCCTTGGCTTTCTGACTTCCTGCCTCTCGTTGCGTGTCTGTCCGGCTTCCACTTCGTATTCTATATTGGTGAAACTTTTCTTTAGAAAACACAAATTTGATTATCCCAACGAAATCCAAACACTGGATTAGCATAAAAGGTTCTATCTTTACTTCACAACCTACTATTTCAGTCTCATTTCTTATCACTCCTTTAGCACCAAAGACGTTCAGTTTCCAGGAATCTGCTAATGCTCTTTTATACCTTTAAGTCTTAGCCTGTAGCAACTGTCTGTCTGGATAGTACATTCTCTGTGAATCTGAACAGTACATTCTCTGTGAATCTGTCCAGTTTTTCTCATCTTCATTCATGGGTAACACACTGAATGTGAGAAGCTTTCCTTGACTTGTCCAGACAGGGTGATGCCATATCCACATCTGCGCCCCTGGAGAGGCATATATACACCTTCATGGCTGCATTTGCTTTGTTTTATTTTATTTTTGAACTATGTGTTTCCTACTGAACTATAAATATAAGGAAGAAATTGTGTCTATTACATTTATCTTTGTATCCCCAGAATGTTCCATAGAGTTTTAGCACATAAACCCTTGATAAACATTTCCTGAATAAAGTGAAAGAATGCCACTTCAGACACTTTGTCACTGTAAGGGTGAATGTGGAGAAGCACATGTTTTGGGAAAGAGAGCCTAGGAAGTATAACTATGTCATATATGAAAATAAAAGAATAGTAATTAATTTCGAGGAGCTAATGGCAACCACAATGCTGGCAACCCCCACACCTACCACCAGAAGAAAAGACCCCCCCCAAAAGACAGACAGGATGTAGCAAGATAAAAATGATTTCACTGTGGCTCTGTTTAAAAGGAGACACATGCTAAGTAATGTATGTAAGACAAAGTTAATAATGAACTCCAGCAGTATTTACCTATATTTTTCTCTCTCATGGCATTTATCAGTCCCTATCCCACACATTCAATTCCCCACCAAGTATGTTAACAAAGAGAAAAGGAGAGCAAGGATAATATCAAATTACTATTACAATATACCTAGAAAAATTATAGTATTAAATGGCATTAATATAACCTTAGATGGTTAAATCTATATCCAATACTGAAGAACAAATATTTGGGTCTATAAATGATATGGAAACCTCCCCCCCGCTCTTCCTGGCTTTGCCCCTGCTCTCCCCAGTAGCTGAGTGTCTCTCCCACTTTCCCCACCCTCCCTCCACTAGTCCAGTGTCAGAGCCAGTTGTAAAAGGCCTTTGCTGGGAAGAGCAAAGCAAGCTGAAAAATGGGGTTGATGCTGAGGTCTTTTAGAAAAACGTCTTTTCCTTTCCCAAAATATACCTGCTAAAATTCCTTGTCAGCATTTAATCTATAATTGGTTAATCTGCCAACAGACAGTTAAATGTTGACTATAGTTATTTATGTACACCTATTTCTCTATAACAATATGAAGTCTTTTAGGAGAGAGTCTCTCTCATTTGGATATGCACCAACACAGAGTTTCAAAATAACTATGAATAGAAAAATGAACTAATAGAATTAATAATCCAATCAAATGTAAATACTGCAGTCAGAGATCATTATATGGGAAAAGTAGCAGTGCCATAAGGTGTATAAGGAAATCCTTGGCATGCCTCCAAGCCTCTATCAGCTACCCTGCCTCAAGCCACCTCTAAAACCAACAATTTAAACAAAAATAGTGTGCTTAGTAGGCAAATGAATCCTCTGATGCCTCACTTAATGCCAGGAAGTACATAACTTTAAAGGGGATGGTACTTTTACAACTTCTTAATATTTAGTGCCCAGAAATGTAATAGTAAAGAGAACTATTTTATTAAACTATTAAATGTTTATTGCATACCCAATAACATTTAATTATCATGCCAAGCCTATGAATAACACCCTTAGACACCACATAGCCAGACCAGGTTTGCTGAACTCCTAGGTTCACCACCTTAACATCTATGCTACGAAACCTATGCTATCCTCGTAAGCCCAGGTAATGCAAACTTGCAATATCAAATTTACTAAGACTTATAACAGAGATGCTTTACAATTTTTTAGTTAACAGTAATATATACAAATGGACTCACAATGATAAGCAGAATTAAATCTGGTTCTATACCCTCAATACAAAGAAAATGCTTCAATTATTCATAACAAATTATTTTAATTAAAATGAATTCCCAAGAACATATAATCACTAGCTGCTAGTATACACAGTTCCACAGTGTGCACTATATAAAACAAAAAAAAAAAACCCTACAGATAATCTGAGATCTGTCTATAAACTGCTCAATAGATATTTATACTTTAAAAGTGACTATAGCATTCTTCAATTATACTATTTAACATTGGCCAAATCTTTTTTATGTAACAGATATAAAAACACCAATGCATTAAGATTTCTGTATGTACTTGTATGAACAATAAAATAAAAATTAACAGGATAAGATAGGTCAAGATGGCTCCAAATATTAAATAACTGAAGTTAATAACTTTCCTTTGTAAGGCTGATTTACTAACATTAATTGATCAGTAATAGAGAATTATTAACTGATAAATCTAGAGACTGCCTTCCTTCCTATTTGCTACTGTGTGTTATGGAGATCAGGATGTTTTGCTTGCGTTTTGATTTTTGTGGGGGGAAATGGTGGCTAATTTTGACCTACTTTGTGTCCCACACTTATAGAAAGCAAAATCAGTAACTTCCAAGATAAATCACAGGACAGATTGGAGAAAATTCCAATTATATCACTACTCATTTACCTAAGAGAAATGGAAAGGCACAAATAACCAGTTACATCTATTAGGATACCTGTAGACTTACGTGGAACCATCTCTTAACTGTTGGGAGGAGAACACAGTACCTTTGTTTCCTGTATTCAAGGGTGCCTGCTCTTGTTATGTTTATTCAAACATGTGTTAGGAGAAATAATTTGGGAGCATCACAAAAACTCAGTCTAGTTTGTTTGCAAATTGTCCCAAAGCTCAACTCATTTCAAACGCTCAAGAAGATAATCCCATACAAAGTTAATGTGATCTAAAATTGCTTTAAACCATGTAAGGTTCTATCTCCACACTGAAGGGTAGGCAGGACTATTTAACCCATAAAAAACTACAAGAGCAGTAGAGAGCAGTGTGAAGATTGCGAGGGCCGTTTCTACCCACCATGGTGACTCATGACCTGCCCCGCGGCCTCCATGCTGACGTTCTGGAGATAGTTGTGGCAGCGCTCCTTGTGCTCCTCCAGTGAACTGCGCTGCTTGTAGCTCCGTCCACAGTAGTTGCACTTGTGAGGTTTACCCACTGAGGAGAGAATTCAAGGTTAGTGTGCTGCCAGTCTCATCCTGAGCAAAATGAACAGCTAACTTTTGATAGTGTGGAGGAAGCATTTGTATGCTTTTCAGACTTAAATCTCTTCCTCCTCCACACTCTGATTTAGATAATAAATCTCCACCAAGATTGAAAGACGATGAGGCAGATAGTACCTTTGGTGACAGGGGAAATACTGAATCCAATTCATGCTCTGACTGTATCCTAGATGATCTGTCTTCAAATTATCTGATTCTTAACACTAACAGTTACTCTAAATACAATTCTCTCAGCTTAGATAGATGACGAGAATTATTTTTTTTACTTATTTTTTCTGGGGTGGTGTTGGCGGTGAGGCCAGAGAATCACACTGAAGGAAACTAAAATGCAACAACTTGAAATGTCATTGTTTAATGAAAAAATTATTCACGGGTACCAAGAAGACTAAAAGGAGTTCAAGTAATGAGAAAAAGTACAGATAAAAGCAGAGTTTCTCTTTTTTTTTTCCACCTTGGTAATAACTATTCACACATGCAAAACTTTGCAGCAAAGTTGTTCTCCCACATCCAGCCCTGTTCTTCCATTACTAAGAATTAACCTCCTAGGCGCTTTGAATCAGGATTATTAACAATAACTACTGAAGCCCGAACATATTTAGTTATACAATGATCGTGGTATCTCAACATATTTCACATTCAGAAAATAAATTATTTCCTATTAGCCAGAGAGACATATCTCAGTATACCTGGAAAAATACTGCGATGATCACATTTGAAAAAAAAAAAATCTTTACAAAATTGGTTAAGAAGAAGAAAACACACATACGGAAAGAGGCGTGTTTGAATGGATAACTATTCACGAGGGTGTCACAGAGCGCTTTGGCTCCTGGTTTGAACAGCAAGGGCAGAAACATACAATGCCAGGGGGCCTGTGCCGAAGGCTTTAGTCGTGAAGTGTAGTGTGAACCCGGTGAGTGGCTCTTCCTTGACTCCCATAGGAATCATTTTGCTTTGCCCAGAGGACAACTGATGGACTCCTTTTCATGGCCAAACATAGCATTCCTCACTCCAGTCACCTTCCGTGCTACGGTACTGGTTATAAGTGGGACTGAAATACTGTTACAAGGCAAAGTATTCACAGCTACATAAAAGTTTCCCTCTACTGACTTTTGTTTTAAACAAAACCTTTAGATTATATTTGAGGTGCACAATAACTAAAATGAGTTGTTTCATTATTATAGCTTTTTGTAAATTATCTTAAACAAAAGCTTCTAAGGCATGATTACTCATTTCTAAAAATACTAGGCAAAGTAACTTCTATTATTCAGAACCAAGGATTTCTGAGAAGTCGAAACCAGGTAGCTGTGTATATTGTGAAGAATTTGTATCACGGTGTAAGAGCATTGAAAAATAGAAGAAAATACTTTTAGTCAGAAACATTTAGTGCAAACAATATAAAAATATCTACATATAATTATATGCCATGATAAGAGGTTACAAGGAAGAAAAAGCCAGTGCTTCCTATAACCACTACTCAACTTTGGGGTCTTTAGTGCTCCTCAGCACTAAAGAAGTAAGGAATTAGCACTGAACAAGTCTATTAAACAATCAATACTTATTAAGTACATGCATTGAAGTTAATTGCCCACTATAAACTAGTTTCATCATCTTCCTCTATTATTCCTGTTGCATTGTGTCCTATGAAACCTGTTTTACTGTAAACATAACCTCCTACACTTTCTTCCCCTGATTTATATAAACAAACTTGATACCTTCTCAGCTTATTTAAATGTAGTTCCCTTTTATTCCCCTTCGCTCACAACCCTTTATAAACTCCCAATTCACTTGACAAGGAGAATAAAGAGTGTATTTTTTACTCCATTTTTGAAATCTCCCCATTTGCTTCACTTTAGCTTCTCCCACTTTGTCATCTGTTTCAAAACATCACTCCTTCCTCTTCGTCCCATCCTTGTTCTCAGTGAGACCAAGGAATCTGAGTAACATTTTCTAAAAGTATAACCCCAAGTTTCCTAATTCTTCCTCTGCATCCACTCCAGCAAGCCACATACTGTTGACACGCTGGACTTTGACATCTCGTAACTACCTCCAAGAAATTTGCTCTGGAAATGCTCCACCTATGCCCTCTCACTTAATACAGATTGCTAAAGAGCCTACTATGTATCAACACTATGAAGAGGCTGGAATGCAAAATGGAGAACAAATGTCATGGTGCCTCTCCTCATGTAACTGACAGCCGGCTGAAGAAGACAGGCAAGGAACAAATATCCATTTTACAAACGGTGGCAGATTCTGCAGAAAAGAATGCTGTGCTGCTATAACATGGGGAACCTAATTTAGCTGGAGAAGGCGGAACAAGAAGGTCTTCCTGAGGGAGGAACATTTAGGCTGATAACCAAAGGAAATGTAGAAGTTAGTCAGATAATGGGGACTCGGGGGTGGCGTGGCGGAGAGGCAGTGTGTCAGAAGTTCTGGGAACTGCCATCACCTCTTTCTGTTTGCTCTCATGTCCTTAGTTCCTTCAAAGTCTAGATCATGCCCTTACTAGTCTTCAGAGAATTGTTTTCAAACATCGTTAACAATCCCTGCTAAATCTAATGGCTCTACTGTCTCCGTAAGACCATTTCCTGTCATTTCTTTGATATTTCTTCAAAATCATGTACATGAAAATATTGTTTGCATTTACTCTCTCTCTATGATGAGTTTATCTGTATAATACTTATAAATTTATGAGTTAAAATGTATCACATGTATATTCACTGAAGAGGATCCATATTTTGCTACTTTCATTTTTATCAGTTATTACACATTCTCACCATCTGAAACACCTTCCTTCTGATATTACTGAAACATTTTAAAAAGTCATCTGTAGCCTTTGAACCCCTAGGTAGAGTGGACTTTAATGGAGCCTGAATCTTCCTTATTTCTGGGTTACTACCAAGCTTTCATGGGTCTTGAATCTCCTGTTCTATCTAGCATCTGGGATCAGATGCTACGCCCCCCTCACTGGCTTCTCTACCTCTCCCTTTGTTGCACACATATATGTGCCCCCAGATTCTGTTCTCAGTACAGTAGTCTCTCTCTTTTCCTTCTAGATTAAGCCCTCATTTCTCTGAAACATCCAAATTATGCCTAGAAAATTGCCTGTATTTGTAAGCTCCAATTTGTCATTTAAACATTTTTGTAAATGACCTTGGTGAGCATGTAGTTTTCTCCTCTGCGCTTTCACAGCATTCTGTCACACCAGTGACACACATGACAATCGCACTGCAGTTTTCCATTTGACATTTATTTATTTCCCTAATCTAAACAAAGAGCTCTGTCATCCGGACAGAGGTCATGTTTTACCCCATTTTGAATTGACAGTGCATATAATAGTCATTAAACATAGGAGATACTCAATATGTATTTGCTGAATGACTGCATTTGAAATACATACTTCCAAATACTTTCTAAGTATTGCCTCATGCATATTCCTCTGAAATCTAAAATTCAACATAACCATTTTTAAATTGGCTTTATTGAGGTATAATTTACATAACATAAAATCCACCCACTTTAAGTGTATTTTCAAGGAGTTTAGAAGTATAGTTTGTAACCACCACCACAACTAAAATATAGAACATTTCCATCCCCTAAAAAATCCTCTCTTGCTTTTTTGTACCAACTCCCTTCCCCAGTCAGTCCATGGCAACCGCTGATCTGCTTCTGAAACTACAGAGTTGCCTTTTTAAGGATTTTATATGCACTGAATCATGCCATATGTAGTCTTTTGCATCTGGCTTCTTTCACTCAACATAATGATTCTGAAGTTCATCCATGTTGTGATATGTATTGGTAGTTGATTACTTTTTATTGCTGAGCTCTATTTCCTTATATAAGTATACCACAGTGTATTCATTTGAGTTGTTTCTAGTTTATAGCTATTAGGAATACAGCTTCTACAAACTTTGCAAGCAAGCCCTTGTTTTCATTTCTCTTAGGTAAATACCTAAAAGTGGAATTGCTGGTTCATATGGTAGGTATCTGATTGACTTTACAAGAAACTGCCTGTTTTCCAAAATGGATCGCTATGCATTTCCACAAGCACTGCATATATTAGAGTTAACAACTGTTCCACATATATGCCAACACGGTATTGTCAATCTTTTTTTTTTTTACCCATTCTAGTACGTATGTAGTGGTATTTCATGACATCTTGTGTTTTTCTAATGTCTCATGAGACCAATCTTTTGCCATTCACATATTTTCTTTGGTGAATTAGCTGTTCATACCTCTTGCTATATATATTTTTTTTACTGTGTTATCTCTAATTTTATTATTGAATTGAGTCTTTTAGTTATTCTAGCTTTCATTAGGCATATGCTTTGCAAATATTTTCTATAAATGTGTCTTGCTTTTTTGAGTCTCTGTTGAAGAACTAAGTTTTTAATTATGAATAAGTCCAATTTATCAACAGTTCCTTCTGTGCTTTGTGTTTTGTGTGTGTGTGTGTGTGTGTGTGTGTGTGTATGTCTTCTATGCAAGAAATCTTTGACTGAATAAATGTCAGAACAATTTTCTCCTTTGTTTTATTCTAGAAGTTGTATGTATTAGCTCTTACACTTAGGTCTTTGTCTCATTTCAACTTAATTTTCATATATGGTACAAGTAAAGTCTATACCATTCTTTTTAAAAAATATGGCTATCTGATTGTTTTAGCTCCCTTTTTAGAAATTATTTTTGTCTTCTTAAATTATTTCAGTATCTTTTTTGAAAATCAATTGATCATATATTTTTGCATATATTTCTGGACTCTCTATTCCATTCCATAAATCTCTATGTGCACCCTTAAACCCAAAGAGTAGGTCTTACTAATAGAGTTAGTCTTTGTAAGTAATGTAAGTCATCCAACCTTTTGCTTTTTTCAAAATTATTTTTATTTTAGGTCTCCTATACTTCCAAAAAAATTTTAGAATCAATTTGTCAATGTCTACA